CAAGCTCCTTTGACCATCCATGTGTTGATTTTTCTGATATGTTCTAGTTCATTGTGAGCTGTTCTCTTTTTTCTTGTTAAGCATCAATATCTTTGCACCACTCCAAAACAAACTGTCATAGACAAAAACACAGGTCCAGGCAGAAATAACTCCAGATTAGTGCTTTGACTTGCCTATATTGCTTCCCTGTGAAGCCTTTTGCCTTATGTCTAATGCTCTCAAACACAACAGTTGCTATCACCTTTCTCCCACCAACACACACACTCATCTTGAATTGCTGTCTTAATCAGCACCAGAACACTTTGCGATTTTTAGTTGCCTGTTAATTTCACAAATTGGTGTGGGAATCTCATTCCACAGCAGCACTTATTTCAACCCTATTCCCCCCCCCTCTCTCTTTCTCTCTGTCTCTCTCTCTCTTTGCCAACAGGGTGTGATGGAGAGTTTCCTGGGTACAGCCCTGGCTGGTTCTGTCTTCTGTTTCTTTGGTGGTCAGCCCCTCATCATCCTCAGTTCCACTGGACCCATCCTCATCTTTGAAAAGCTGCTCTTTGAATTCAGCAAGTGAGCTGCTTTAGAGCATAGTAGATTTATATACTGGGAAGGTTTATGTTCTGAAGAGACCTCAGTAATGTCAGGAGTAAACATCTCATCTCACCACATTATTATTATTTACGGTTTGCATTAAAATCATTTTAGGTTGAAGAGTTTCAGTTGAAATGCTATGTGCAGTATGTGGGAGCATATGTATGGCTTTATTTACTTCAGGCTGAATGCAAATCCAAATTTCTGAAATGCTGCAGAAAGAAGAAGATGAAGAAAAAAAAGATTAATGCCTTGATTCTAATTTGCTGGTTACTTTAACCAGAAAACAGCCGGAGAAGCGCTTTTGCCGTTCTGATCTTTGCTCTGACTGCAGTTCTGCTGAAGTAATGAGTTCAGCTACCATTAAATACCAACCCTCAAATCCACTTTGCAATCACTTGTACTTACCTCGATTTATATTGACAGCCCTCATACCACAGAGTATACATGTAAACACAGCCTGCTACATAGTGTTTGTACTGAAACAGTGAACTATTTTAAGTGTGAACAAAAACAAAATGTTAACCAAAATTCAAACTGTCTTTATTGTCACAGTGAAAAATCCAAGAGTTATATTTGTTTATACTAAATATTTGTTTGCATGAAACAAACTAGGTCAAGTAGATGACATCCCAGCCTGATACATACTGATGCGCCCAAAAATACCAGCGCTTTGGCTGGTGTTGTATTTTTCTGAGGATTCTGCAAAATGTGGTCCTATACAGAGCCAGCGTTGCAGAGACAGCTTTGAGATTTCAGTATGTTAGTTTGTATGTAGAGGGTTTGTTAACAAGACAGCATGACAGATGTGAAAAATGCAGTCACCTGTATTTAAAGGTGAGATAAAGATTGACAATGAGCGTGATCCGATGCCTTTGTGCAGATGATGCATGTAATAATGTAGTAATCGTTGATAAATGCTCATGGGTCAGAATATCAGCTTGTTGACGGCCATTAGGGCTGGCGTGATGCAGTGACGCAGTGGTCCTTCTCAAAGATTAAATAACATTAGTGGGCTTCCACATGAATGCTTATCTAACTTTATCACATTTAACTGTGTGTAAAAACTGAATAAACTTGGAAAAACAATCAACAGTTTAAATATACAGAATTATAACCAGTTTGAATGTAATAAATTTAAAAAAAACATTCATTAAAGCTTTTTTTTAACTTGTGTAGATTTAATTGTGGAAAGAATTATAATTATATGCATGCAAAATATATATGCACGATAATAGATCTATTTTGTGCATGTGACTGATAAGATGAAGATATAAAGAAGGAAGGATCAGAAGTCCAAACCGAGTCCTACTTGTTTAGTTGGTGATTTCGCTCACACATATCATGTGTTTGATTACTCAAGCCTTGATATTTGTCTGTAAACACTCCAAGCACGGTTGTTTTTCCCCATCAAGCTGCTCTATATTCACAGATAATGTACTGTTTGCACAAAACTGGATATCTTTGTGTTCTGTGCCTCAATTCATCATTGCTCCCACCTGTTTTTCTGACCTGTCGCTTCCACAGGAGCAACAGCATAGATTACATGGAGCTGCGTCTGTGGATCGGCATGCACTCGTGCCTACAGTGTTTCATCCTCGTAGCTACAGATGCCAGTTACATCATCAAATACATGACGCGTTTTACTGAGGAGGGCTTCTCCAGCCTTATATCCTTCATCTTCATCTCTGACGCCATCAAGAAGATGGTGGGCGCCTTCAAATATTATCCCATCAACACAGACTTTAAGCCCGACTATGTCACCACCTACAAGTGCGAGTGCCTGGCCCCAGACCCGAGTGAGTTCACCCCTTGACTCAGGGATAGAGAGAAAAGGGGGATTATTAGTCTCATTGGACTGACATGACAGGCAGATTACAGAAGCAAACGCATGTGTGTGTTCACTTTATCAACAGCTTTATTTGAGAATGCCGTCAGCTTTAATGTCTTGACTTCATTGGTTTAATTATTATGTATAACAATATGTGAATAAATGCAGTACAGCAAACTAAATAACTTTAATTATACATAGGGCTCATGATAGGGTCACGAAGCAGGATTTATTAACAAGATCTGTTGATTGTTGACAAGAAAAGAAATTATCACTCAGTGTTATTGTGAATTGTATTTATCTCAGCTTTGGTACTTATTTCACAGTTAAAATATTAAAACTAATTTCTCACGTATATCAGAAAAAAGATTTAAAATGAATGGCTGTCGAGGTGATAATGCGCATCAGTTTTTAGTCGATCAGGTAATAATGAAACATTTGCCTGCTACAAAGAAATGTTAGATCTTTTTTTTTGTCCACTGGTTTCCTTTGCAGTGTTCGCTCACTGACAGAGCGTTCACTCTAATGGCATACATCATTAATGTGTCTCCTAGCAAATGCCTCCTGCGGTTATTTTAAGCTGCCACCGGTCCACATTATTTAGCACACCGAAGATTAAATTATACTGTTTTAGCTGTTTTTGACCATCTATAGCTGTACAGGCATATCAAGCATATGTTGGAGGCAACTTATTACAACTATTAACATCACACAGAGAGGACTGACAAATAACTACACTATAATATGTCTGTGGATGTCTTTTTCATCATTTCTTTATACTTGTGATGATATCTGGAGTAGAGTTATAATAGTTTTGTATTTTCTAATATTATTTATTTTTATTTCACTTTCACCTTTTGGTTGCGATTTAGTGTAGTCATTTCAGCCACCACCAGTATTGTTATTGTTTGAAAATGCAAAGTTTTAGTTTCCGTTTTAGTCTTTATAATTAGTATTATTGTCTGGGGGAGGCAGACAGGGGCGCCACCGGGAAGGGGTTGGGGTGGTGGCGGGTCAAGGTAAGGCTGTCCTATGTTGGTAATAATGTAATAAGTTTGCAGAAAAGCTGGTGCCAATCCATGGACAGATCACTGGTGCATCTCAGTGCCAACACAGAGACAGGCAACAGTTCACACTCTTACCTGATCCAACACTTATCTGTCTTTATTGAACAAGTTTCATCAATCAATCAATTGAAGCAGATTTTTATGCATTTTAAAATCTTAATTGTTTTTTATATGTACCTATTTTCAGTGATATCAGCTATAATAGCAGGAAATTAACTAGGCATATCATTCTTTTCTTTCTGTTTTTGCCATCTTTTTCAAGTAACCTACATTTGACAGCAGCATAATAAAAATGGAATGCAACTTTTTAACCCTCTCAGGCTCAAATTAAACTTTTTGTTGCTAATGCACAACCAAGTCCTGCAGTGGTACTTCTGAGTAATCAGGTTGTTAGTTTTTAACTGCTGCAAATCGGCAACGCCTGCGTTGAGAGGGTTAAAAGCGGTTGACTCGCAGTCCTGTAGATATACAGAGCCTCAAATATACCACTAAAACGAAGTATATTTCCTCTAGATTTTTATTTTATTTTACTTCATTTTTTGAAGTTCACCAAATCGCTTCAGATAGTCTTGATTTTTTAAACAGTGATTTCGTTTAGTTTTCTGTTTTTTGTTTGTTTGGTTTTAGTTAATTATAGTAACCTTGGTGTGCAGTGATGAATAACAGCTTTATTCTTCTTGGGTTGAGGGGTTTGATGATGGTAATCTACCCACCTTTTTCCAAGTGCAGGTAATTTGCAGTCATTTCTGCAGACATTGATTTCTGTAACTGATTGTTATCTTGTTTGCTTTTGCCATGCACAAACAATTTGGCTGCCGTCTCTTGCAAGTGAGTACCCCTTTGTCTGTCTGCATGAGACTCGGAGTGCTCTCTGTCCAGCTGCTGGATTCTCATTATATTTTGCGTTTCTTCTTTCCTCCCCTTTTGTTTTCTTCATCACCCCATCTACACTATCCGACTCATTACCTGGCTCCTCCCTACTCTCTCTCTCCCCAATCCGTGAACAGTGGCTGCAATGATCTTCAATGGTTTAGCTCCAATGCCAGATAACAGCTCTAGTGTCTCTGGGGTGAGTGCTTGCTTTCATTAAATGTTGAATTTTCTACTTTTTGTTGCTATATTTCAAGATAAATGTCCACAGAGTTGGCGACATTGCAGCTGCAGACATGCTTTGTTTACAGCTAACCCAGGTGTCAGCTCTGTCTCTAAAAGAAGTCGCTTTCCCTCCTCTGTGTCTGCGTCTCTCCATCAACCCCACTGACCTTTCACTATTACTAACTTTACATCTGCGCCGACAATTTTTTGCTCTCTACGTGTCTTTGTCGAAACACTACGCTCTTCTTCATCCTCTCTTACTGCTGCCAACACCATCCCAGTTGAATGTGACAGCTCTGGACTGGAGCCAGCTGAGCAAGAAGGAGTGTGTGAAGTATGGAGGCTCTCTGGTGGGAAAGTCCTGCAAGTTCGTCCCCGATCTGGCCCTCATGTCCTTCATCCTCTTCTTTGGCACCTACTCCATGACCGTCTCCCTCAAGAAGTTCAAGTTCAGCCGCTACTTCCCAACCAAGGTGGGTAAACTATCTGTCTACATATGTGTCCTTTTGAACCAAGTTACACAATGTTTTTGCAAAACTCATAATGAACTTTTTCATCATAGTGGATTGAAAACAAGTATTAAAACAGTCTATTTTTTTTTTTAAAGAAAAGACCTATACATGCAAGCAAAAAGACCGAAATTAATGAAAATGTACAAACCAGCAGAATTGTTTGAGCAGGTGGAAGAGAGCCTGGAGAGGTGGAGGTAAGAAGAAGCTAGACTGAATACATGTATGTAAACAGTGAAGCTGCAAGTAGAGGTAGTGAAGTTAGATGTATTTAAAAACCTGGGATCAGGTATGGACAGGATTAAATATGAGCATATCAGAGGGACAGCTCAGGTTTAGCGGTTTGAAAAAAGTCAGAGAGGCAAGGCTGAGATGATTTGGGAATGTGCAGCAGAGTGATAGTGGATATTTTGAACGAAGGATATTTGATATGGAGCTACCAGGCTGGAGGAAAAGAGGGAGGTCCCAGAGAAGATTCATGGATGTAGTGAAGGAGGACAGGAAGAGGGTTGGTGTGACAGAAGAGAACACTAGGGTGAGATGGAGGCAGATGATCTGCTGTGGCTGAAAGAAGAAGAAAGAAGAAAAAAATGGCTGCCAGGTTTTTGAAAGTATTAGATGTTTTTGGGCAGAAAACCTAGCTATTAGATCATTGTTCTTCCTTTTTAC